AAAAAGTGTTCCTCAAAGTTTTTCCATGGAAGAAAGCATTTCGTTTTAGTCACAAAGGAAAGCTAACTTTACGCTTCTAAGACCTTATGAGGTACTAGAGAGAGTTAGACTAGTGGCTTACCGGTTAGCCTTACCACCAGAATTAGAACACATCTACAATATGTTTCATGTATTCATGCTTGGGAGATACTAATCTAATCCATCTCACGTTCTACCTCTAGAGCAGATCGAGGTAAGCCCATACATGACCTATGAGGATGAGCCAATTAGAGTCTTAGCGGGAGATGTAAATGAGCTAACGAACAAGAGAATTCATTTAGTCAAGGTGTTGTAGAGGAACCATGGCATTGAGGAGGCGACTTGAGAAATCAAGGAGGACATTCAGCTTCAGTACCTACACCTCTTATATCCAAGTAAATTTTGACAACAAAATTTCTTTCTAAGAGAGGAGAGTTGTAACACCCCAAATTCGGGTTAAGAGTTTTGGGCTAACTCGATAGGGACTTGGATTAAACCCTTTGGCTTCTATAAAACCTTGACCCGAGTTGAGTAGAATTTGGACTTGGATCAAGCCCATTTAGAGAAGAAAATATGGTTTTTTGGAGTTATAATCAAAACTAGGAGGACCAAAGGAGAAGTTTCACCATTTTTATTTTCAAGGGCTGAAAACCTATTAATTTGGGTGATCTCACGCTTTTCTCTCTCTTTTTTTCTCAACTCTCATTTCCTTTCTTTTTCTCCCAAATTCTTCATTTATTCATTAGTAAACTAGACAAAAATGGTAACTTGGTGGTCTTGAAATCCTTGTTTGCTATTTTAAGGGTAAAAATCATAACCTCCATATTCAAAGCTTCAATTCAAGCCTTCAATCTCATCATTTCACCTTGGTAGCTAAATATGGGTTTTATGGTGCTTTATGAGAACTTTAACCACCTAGCCCATTTTTTAAGGATTTTTTTGTCTTATGTTTTTAATACCTTTCTAAGCTCCCAAACACATTAGTAATCCATGTGTTTATTTCTTGCATAGTGAGAGAAGTTGAAGAAAGCTCCAAGAAAACAGGGAAGGAAAAACTCACACTTGGTTGAACTTTGGGTGTTTCCAACTGCTTAGGAATCCCAAGTAACTCACTTCTAACTCAAATCTACCACATGTAGGTCATTAGATGTATTTGTATAGGTTGCATGAGTTATGAAGCATGTTCAAGGTAGAATTCAAATATCAGTGTTTTCCAGCATGTTTATAGACTCTTTATGACCCCTATATTTAACATAACTCTTTAATAATGTTTGGGGACCCTAATAGGATATTTAAGAGTATTTGGGAGGCATTTTCATGCCCAAATTTCTGGACATAAGTATCTATACTAGAAGAACAATTTAGGTGTTAAAAACAAAGGGTTTTGGGCATATAAGTATCGATATTCATGCAATGGGTATTGATACTATAAGTAAAGAATCAATACTCGTAGGATGATATCAATACTGAGTTCACTTAAAAGATTCCAGTAGTCAAATTCATATATCGATACTCATGGGAGTATCGATACCAAGGGTAGAGTATTGATAATCCCTAATAGGTTTATCGATACTTAGACATTTTTCAAAACATCGAAGCTAAATTTGGTATCGGTACTCATGAAAGTATCGATACTCCAGACCAAAAGTATCGATACTCAAGAAGGAGTATCGATACCAGCCCTTTGTTATCATCCTTTAACAAGTCAACAGTATCGATACCCAGAGGTTAGTATCTATTACCCAAAGGCCATTATCAATACTGAGGAGCTTAGTATCGGTACCCATGAAAAGTTCTAGGTAAGAAACCCAAGGGTTTTAAGGGTTAGAATTGAGGGGCCCAATAACAATAGAATTCCATGAAAGAAAACTACAAATGTGAACAGTAGTAAACTCAGAACAATTAGAAACAATAATAGTTAAGATGACATAAAACTAGCTTTGTTTGACGCTTGGGACACAGTCAGGGCACCCAGTTACTTTAGTAGATACGATCGTACAATTGGATATCTCAATCAGTGCCAAGGCACTTTGGTCACCAACTAGGAGTAAATGCCCCAAGACTCTACGGAGTAAGTTGACTGGGTGTACGTTTCGATGCAGCTTCAGATCTCACCCAAATATCCAATGGTATTTTAGAAAGGCTAGAGGGATGTGTGAGCTTCGAGATGTAGAACCCTCAGTCGCACCATGATGCCCTACATGAGCATGTTAGATCAATAATTATATGTCTTCATACATGTTCCACTAGCATGCGCATTTTGTGAATGCATGCAGTATAGTACAGTTATTAGAAAGACACTGAGCTCATAAGCTCAACGTTCAGAATGTGTTTTCCTGCGCAATTTCTTAGGGGATCAATTGAGGAACATTATCTTCGCCAGCAGTTCCAACTCAATCGAGACTTCAGAGTACGTCTTGATCTTTTATTAGAGGGCATATACTATTGTATACCCTTTGTATTCAGTCGTAACTCTAATTTGTTTTAAACTCAATGTATTATTTTGGGATCTCTCCCGTACTTGTTAAACAAATTTATTATGTTTTATTTACATTCTTATGGATAATGTTTTATATAATGATTTATGATGTTTTAAAGAAAAAATTTTAGGTTAGCCACTTCAGTGATCTCGTGTGACATTATGATCTAGTGATCTTCGGGTCGGACTAGATTAGTGTGTTACACTACTAACCCGGTTTCTGGGGTGTTACACCTCCAATCGAATGATGTAACATGTCACTGATATCATGTGTTGTGTCATGTGCCAACATTTGGTTGGAGGACTAACTTTATTTTAATTTATTATATTTTTATTTTAATATAGAGCTAACTTTATTTTAATAAATTAAATATATTAAATTAAAATAAAGTTAATCCTTCAATTTAATAGTGACACGTGACACGACACATGGTACTAGTGAAACATGACATCGATCGATTGAATGATTAAATTTATTTTAATTTATTAAAAGTAGAACTAAATTGAGAGAATATGTAAATAACGTAGATCAAATGTTTGATTATACCAAAATACCACGTTACCTAATCTGTTAACTGTTAACGATAATTAACACATGATGACTACATATTAATTACATAAAAATGAAAGTAATATATCTTAATTAAATAAAAACGATAGTGATCATATATTATGTTTTTTGAATCAATAAAAAATAGACAAAATACAAATATAAATGATCAACATGTAGTTAACCTAAATTATTATTTCCCAAATGTTTTATATATAAACCAAAGATTAAAAAAAGGGTCATTTCAAGAGTGAATGCAAGAAGTAAATTCTGGGGGAGTTATCTGTCTGATCAGTATCACTATAATCTTTCAGCAGAACATACCAGCCCCCTACATGGTTTACAGCCAATTCATTAATAAATTTTGTGTCACTTGAATTAAAATAATTAATCACAATTAATAAAGAAACTAAAATATTCCTTATCCGATAAAAAAACAAAAGACATAAATCCTAATTGTTGAGAAGACAGGAACATTAAATATTAGATGAAGACAGAAGAGCAGCCATCGAAAGCTATTTTGACTGCTTCAACTCTCCTCTTGCTCCATGTAATATAATCTTTTATTATTATTATTATTATTATTATTAATTTGATTTATTTATTAATCAAAATCAAGCTTTAGTAGGGAGAATCAAGGGATAATAATATTGAAAGGTATGCACTCTAGCCTTTATTTATCACACTGTTTTGACCAACTTTTATTGGATTTGCGAAAATGATCAACAAAATCTCAATACGATCTCTAATTCGCATTGCGATTTCCACTATCGCAAATTCGCGTTGCATTTCGTGTTGAGTGATAGAGAACAAGGGGGACTCTCGCGCGCCGCCGCCGCCGTCCGTCCGTCTCGTCTCGTCTCGTCTCGGGTCGTGGTCGTGGTAGTGGAGATCGCAATGCGAATTAGAGATCGCATTGCGATTTTGTTGGTCATTTTCGCAAATCCAAAAAAAGTTGATCAAAATCGTATATTATCTGGGATTTTTGGTCACTGAAGTTATTTTATAAATGAAAAACATTTCATTGTTTGTTAGTAATAAAACACATTCTTGATAAGAATTAGGGTCATTATTCTGTCGATGGAATCAAATAAAAAAATGAATTTGATCGAGTTTAATAGTATCATTTTATTATTTAAAAGTTTGATCAAGTTGAGTAAAAAGATAATTGCTCAAATTTCATTTCAAATTTAAATGTAATTGCTTATAATTTTATAATACTAATTAGTTTCAACTTCAACAAATCTCTCAAATCATATTGTTGTTTTTCTAGTGGAGAGATTTTAAAGATAAAGTATTGATGGAAAGATAGAATTTGTAAAGAATTACAATCGAAGGATCAAATTGAATAAAACACAAATTTGAGGGATTGAATTGAGAAAATAGTAAATTTATTATAAAAAAAGGAATTAAAATTATAATCAAATGACTTAACTAACAATAAACTCTAGGCCATTTTAATTTTAATTTTTTATTCCATTCAAACTTTACAAATTTAAACTCAAAATTTGAAATAAAAATTTAAATTAACTCAAATTTAAATAATATCTCAACTGCATTCTCTATTCTTTTTTCATTTTTTAATAGTTGGAATAATTATAAGATATTATCTGCTTAAAAATTTTCTTAATTATTAACAACGTACACATATTATATAAATATGATTGTTCGAATCTGAATGATTCCTAAACTTTAATTCTAAATACTACTTTGAATATTTAACTTTAAATATACATTTCAAAAAAGATGATGAGTAAAATTATAAATATCAAATTTAATAATCATTATTATTTTTAAATGTATTAAGGGCATACCGATCAACAAATCCATAACGAGATATGCAAAACCAACAACTCTTGTTCTTTGGTATTTAAGAAACACTGGTATTATTTAAACTTTTTGTAATTTGAATTTTACTTTTTTTTTTACTGCTTCTATAGCTGTCTTCTGCTTGATTCAAGTCAGAGAATTAATGAGTCTATAGATTTCCAGGTGGAGAATATATATATATATATATATATATATATATATATATATATATATATATATTGTGGAGCTTTCAATTAAGTGATGAGATGGGTATATATTGTGTAGATTTCCAGGTGTATTTGAAAAGCTGGTTTTGACAATGAGATGGATGAAGCCTGAAGGTTTTCTCATGCCTTCTCTAAATACATATCCTTAAATTTCATCTTTACTCATTAACAATTCCCATCCATCAAATCTTTTGTTATTTTCCTCTTGATTCTTGTTTCTTCTTCTTCTTCTTTCTGTTGCTGCAATTGCCCTAGAATCTGATATGGAGCCTTCCCAGACATATGGAGCCCAGGAAGAATCCCATAGCAGTGAATCAGGGTGGACAATGTATATTGGTTCCCCCATACACGGCGGCAGCGACGACAGTGGCAGTGAAAAAGCTGCTGCTGCTGATGCTGATGATCAAAGTGATGATTCAATGGCGTCTGATGCTTCTTCAGGTCCAAGACGTCAGAGCCATGGAAGTGGGACCACGACGTTGTATTTCAAGCATGACGATGAATATGATGTGGAGGAGGAAAGGGGTTGTTTCTTGGACAAGAGAGGTAAGAAATCAATGGAGAAACAAAACCTTGAGGCAATGAAAAACAAACAAGACAAAGAAGTGAAGAAACAGACGCCATTGAAGCCCAAACGAGCTCTATCCGATCCTTGTCCGATAGGTTCCAAGTTAAGACAAAGCATCTGGTTTGGTGAACGAAACTAGAAACTGCTTCCTTTCTTCTTTTTGATGGATATGCAGGGAAAATGCTTAAGTAAGAACTTATATGCATATGTATATTATTGAGACTCTGATATAAGAGTTCAATCAACAGATACAAGCTTCCATCAATTTCAATACATCCTCCGCCATTAACGATTATTGTTAATAAACCAACACCTTAACATTTTGTTATATTAAAAATGTAGATTGTACGAAGTTATAAAACTTTAAAGATATAAAATTAAATATTTCACAACTAAATCAATCATACCTACTTGACGTATATGAATGTTATACGTAGAGGAATGACAAATCCTTGGGCAAATATTATAAACTCACAAGATTTGTAGTATTCACGGATTACTTTTGTTGTAGAGATTAATAAACCCTAATTATAAACCATAGACAATAACAAAAACAAGAGTCATATTCATGCATTAGGAAGTTCCAATGGAGGGGGGACACATTGTCGTGCACGTGGGGTGAAGGGAATTTTAGCAACACTGCCAGAGATTTAGACAGTTCCAAGACGGCCACGCCGTTGGCCAACTCAACAACAACAGGTTCGGTCGAGTCAAGTGGAGGGTCCGGACTATTAGGGTGTTCGCGGCATGTTAATCGTACCGTTTAGTCTAAACAGTCCGGTTAATTGTTATAACGGTTACTGAATTTTACTATCTATAACCTAACCATTAAGAAACGATTGTGTAACCTATTACAATTTTTTTTTCACATTTTTACTCTTTAATTTAAAAAAAATACTAATTGACACTACATAATACTTAATACGTATACATACTACATTTGCATATTTTTATATTAGTTTAAAGTTCCAACACACACAAAAAATGTAATTAATCATACTATAAATTTAAGCACATATCAATTAACAATAGTCCAAAACATCATCAAAGTTTCAAAGATACCTTTACTAAACATAAAATAAACATGATAACTCAAAGTCTCTAATAACTCCAACATAAGGTAAATGAAACTTCTATGATGCAGTACCGCAAGCCACAAAAAATTAACTCTAATAACAAATCACCAATACCCAGGATCTTTGTTGGCTTCCTCCGAAATGGAATTTGTCTCATCAATCTTGAACCTAGATTTTTTTTATATGTTTTATTGTTTTTCTTATCAAGTAAAATATAAAATATATATTTCTAAAGTTAAATAAATAATTAAAAATAAAACATCGATAATAATAAAGTAGTTTGAAATCTTGAATTTACCTTTTCGTAGCAATCGTAACTTGATTTGCAGCACTCGTAATCAATTTACAGCAGTCATGACTCAATTTATAATAGTTATAACTCAATTTGCAACACCCTTAATTCAATTTGCAACTCTTAATTTGCAAGGTGAATTTGTCGGTATAAATAATTAGGCTGATATGTTGTTATATATATATAAACAAACCAAAAAAGAAAAATAAAAGAACGAGTCTCCTAAATTAATTTGAAATAGAATTGCTTTAAAGAAAATATAGTTAATTATAAAATTAACCTTCAATTTTTACTAGGATTTATAGAGCGATCTTTAAAATTTATATTTATAATTTAATAACAGTTAATCATTTTATCAAAATTTGTAATCATAACCATAACCATTAATCTTTATTTTTAACGATTTGGTTAATTGAAACCATTTAATCTTAACGGTTCAATTAATTAAAAATGTAACAGTTACACCGATTAACGGTTACAGTTAACAGTTACAAGTTAATCTACACACCCCTATAGATCTTGACCCTCACCATCGCTCCAGAGACCCAAACCAAACAATTGCATATCGGTTACAAATTCATAATTTTCTTAATATATAAACAACGTGCACATTCCCTTCTTATGCAGTAGCTCAAACTTGAATCTTTTAAAAAGAATAATATTTCTTTTTATCTATAAGATCATTTAATGAGTTGATTATATAATATCGTTACTTAGATGGACCCTCAAAGTCACCCATAAATACAATTAATTAATAAGCTCACTACAGGGGCATGTGAGCAGTTGTTGGATTTAGCTAAGCACATTTCACTTTCAGTGTTTCAAAAGAGCCAATCTCATTACTCAGTTAGGGCTCCACGGGGCTGGTTCCATCCCTATAAGCCCTTAGGGTGACCATGTTGTTTTTCCACCAACAATTGACTCGGTTTTTCTTTTTCTTTTTTTTTTCTCGACAAATTTGATTTTATTCATATAAACATAAAAACAGTTAACCCCGATTACGAGTCTCGTTAAAAATCTCTTTAATTCTAATTAGAGGAAAAAAAATACAACACAAACGGGTAAGAAACTAGATAACTTCAACAATACAATGTGCCACATATTTAGCGGATTGCAACACAATTCTAGAGCAGCTATATCCAACAACTAGCAAAATCATTTGAAGGTGATTATATAAAAAAAACTAAGTAATTGAATAAAAACTCCCACACATGTATATGTATGTAAAGGGTTGTGTAAAATTGAGCTTTGATTATTGTATAGGTGGTGGCGGCGGCACCAGCCCTTAAGGCTGGTTGCTGGCCGCCGATTCTTTTCTTTCTTTAGTTTTCTTTTGTTTTTACCTTTTATTAGGTATGCTTTTAAGCAGCAAGGTCGGTGTTCGGCGCCGTTGTTACCTTTCATCGTCTATTAGCTTGTTTTGAGTGAGTGTGTTCGTTCGTAAGTCTTTACCTCTCTTTCGCCTTCAGCTATTGTGTTTGCTTTGCCTAGATAGATGTCCTTTGGTGTTGCTCTTAGATGTTGTTCTCTGCCCGCTCCTGTGTTTGTGTATTTCACCGTGTGTTCCTTGTTGGCTCTCCGGCCGGTGGTAGAGCGACGTTTTCAGCGTTGTCGGTGATGAGTTGTTTCCTAGATTGCAGGAGGTTTCTGCTGAAGATGATGGTTTTGTGTTTCTGGTTGTGGAAATGAGGTGCTGTCGCTACTTGTTTATTCGTCGTGCCCATAGTGTCGATTGATGAGCCGCTTAGTACTGGTTTGAGAGTACAGGCAGTTTATATGTTTTTGGGAATTTTTTCCTTTGGAAATTCAGTAATGTTGTGAGGATCGTGCTTTCATTGTCGGATCCTTGGTCGATGGCGGAGCGTGGCTTGCAGTTGCTGATGTTATTGCGGACGCTTCTGGCTTCTTAAAGGCATGTGCAGAAGATACTGGTCTCGAGAAAGGTGGTATGGGGGATGGGTAGCTCAAGGCGCTGAGTCAGAGGAATCTTTTCGGTAGTGGAATGTTGGCAGCATGTTTGGTGCTTGCGGATTTCATCGTGCTTCGTTAGTGGTTTGTGGATATTATTATATTGAGAGACATCAGTTGAGTTATTGTATTGTACAAAGCAAGTGTAGCTGTTGCAGTTATCTAATTTGTTGTTGCGCCGTTTTCTGTAGAAAGAAGGTTTATAAGGTGGTCCAGTTGGCATCCTGTTTTTGCACTGCTGTAGCTGCATCGGGAGAGCTTATTTCTTCTTGGGATTTTTATGTCTTTAGTTTGCGTGATTTTCCAGCACTAGTTTCAGGGTTTAGATTTGAGTGGTCTTTGTTCCATTGGTCTGCTGATGTGTTTATCTTAGTCGGGGTGTGATTGTTTTTTGGTTGTTGTTCATTGGTGCTGCTTTTGTTTGAGAGCTGGGTTGAAGATTGACGTAGTTATGGTGTTGTAGTGTTATGTTGCAGTGTTTGTGTCGGCTTGGTGAATTTGGTTTCAGATGATGTTTGGATACATCCCATTGTTGCTGGTTTTGGCTTTGATCAGTATTGATTGTCTTGTTGGCGATGGTGTTCTTGAACGTGGCTGCTGTGGGAGCAGCAGCACTTTCAGCTGTGTTTTCCATATTGGGGCAAACGTAGCTTCAATGGATGATGATATGCAACATGTACGGGAAATTCTGCGACCAGGTTGGTGTTGGATTAGCAGTGGCACTACTGGTTTGCTTTATCATGGTGGTCCAATCTTGTATCTCTTCTTTTGGTGTGTTCCGCTTATATGGTGGCTATAAGGCCAAGTATTCTGGTGGGTGAAATTTGGGTGTCATTATGTATTACTTTGCTCACATTTATAGGGTAATTTCCAAGTTTTATTGTGCCAGCTGGTAAGATGTGTGGAACTTTTGCTCCTTGGAATTATGCTTCTATTCTTGCTCGTGATTGGTGACAGATTCTGCATGTTCGGTGTAGCTTCATTTGGTTGTCCTGCAAGCTTTTGTTTCTCCTAGTTTTTGATAAGTCAGGAAGCTCTTTAGATTTTGGTGCGTCAGGTTCAAATGATTCGTTTTAGCTTGCGAGTATCTCTGTTTCTCAGATATAGGAATCGTATAAATTAAGGTTGATGCTATTGTTTCGTTCTGATGTTTTGTCTCTTTCCGTTGGTGTTGTTGTTATGTGTTTGCTTCCTCTTTGGTTCTCAATTGGTGTATGTTCATTGTGTGTATTTGATTCTTACCACCCCAAGGTGCACTCTTTTTCTTCCATTTAGGATTAGGGAGGTTTTTTTAATGAGGTCCTTGAAGTGTACTTTGTAAATCTTATTAATATATATGTATGTAAAGGTGGATATTTGTATAAATATACAAGTGATACTATATAAGATCCTACTATAAGCCGTACTTAAACCAGATTAACATTTTGGGAAGTACCAAGTTGAAATCTCAGCCTCATCTATAAACAACCCTCACATTATGCCATAGAAATGTGACTAATTAATCTTCATGTTTAGCCACAATCAAGCAACTGCATGGATCAGATATCCCCCATGCTCCAATTGTATTCATTATTCTTTAAATCCACGACGTCCGGTTGTTGTTGACTGGGAAACAGTTCAACATTGTCGTGGTTAATTGACGAAATTGAAGAGTATGTTTACATGAATTCAGCAGGACTATTGCAGGTCAATTGGCTAGTGCTTTTTTGATAATCATGTAATGTTAATGAAGAAATTGGAGAGTACGTTCCCATGAATTCTGCAGGACTATTGCACGTCAGTTGGCTTGTGCTTTTTTGATGATCATGTAATGTTGATGACGAAATTGGAGAGTATGTTCCCATGAATTCAGCAGGACTATTGCAGGTCAATTGGCTTGTGCCTCTTTGATGATCATGTGACGTTGGGTTACTGATATGAGAAGAACACATTTCTACTTGCTTGTGCTTCTAGATTCGAGTCCTCCAATAATATTTTATTTCGTTATCCGTCCTTCCAGGCAGCTATTTTTGACCATCTACATGTACATATATATATTATTAAAATTTTATTTAGATTAGAGTACAAAATATAAATTAAAGCTTAAAATTCAATCCAACTGTTAAAATTGAATCTAATCGAATCATGCAGATTAAAATCAGAATACAAAATATAAATTAATAACTTAAAAATTCAGGCAGATTTAGAGATCTTTTTGGAGATTGACAATAAGTCGAACCCCACATTGCTAAATCCTAAAAATATGGCTTTAGAGAGGTGCACTTCTCTCTCTCAATCAAAATTCAAAATGTTTGTACTTCAACTCATAACACACACCAATGTGGGGTTTATAATTATTTGTTAATTTGTATATGAATAATGCATATATTGTCTAATTGGTGTGTAGTATGAGTAGAAGTACAAAATAATTCAAGATTCAGACAGTTTTATAATTATTTGTTAATTTGTATATGAATAATGCATATATTGTTGCATAACATGAACTAACCTGTTTCCCCACTTAGCATGCAATTCCTTGATCAAGAGTTGTGCTTCAAGAGTGATATTGCCTCGACGTACATCCGGGCGAAGATGGTTCAACCATCGGAGCCGACAACTTTTTCCCGTACGCTTCAACCCTATCAAAACAATTTATTTGATATCGTTAGGGTTACAGTGAAAAACTGAAGTAGCACTCTGCATGTTCTTCGATAAATTAGCTTTCTCGCATGGTTCATGAAAGCTTTATAAAAGTAAGCTTAAATTAAAATTAAAATATATTTACCAGCGGTTCTAACAAGATATTCCAACGAAGTCCACCAGTCTTAGCAATATAGTTGATGAGAATAAAATCTTCTTCAATTGTCCATGGCCCTTTTCTCACTTCAACATCTTGAGATTTACATTGTTTTTAGCCATAGTTAAAAAAAAGAGATGGAAATTAATAAGATAGAAATAACATATATTTATATTAAGTGATTTTTTATGAAAAAAAGAGAGAAAAAGAAAAGGGAGATGGAGAGAATCTGCTGGAAGGTAGATGGGGTTTATAGAGAACAAAATTAAGAAGATTTTTAGCAGTAACCTTTGTTACTAATTATCATTAGAGATGAGATATTTGAACTAACTATTGTGTTAATTACAACACATGCATGCATGGCCAAATACCTTTGCATTCACAGCATCATGCTATATACATATATAATATTATTTTAGGGTTAATATTGAATAAATTATCACATTTCAATATTTGTAGACTCCACTAGAGAGTTATTGAGAGAATACATACTCTTGCACTAACTTTATTATAGTCTTAATTCGATTAAATTTATGGATTTAATCCCTTTATTATAATTTGATAATTTTTAGCTCTCTATATTTTGTGAAATTAATTGTTTTTACCACTAATATAGAAAAAAACCATATATTGCTCCTCCTTTCTTGTGAATGTGGAAATTTATTTACATATTTGGTACTTATACTTTAACAATATATTCAATATGATGCATGTACTTTTAAAGTGTCTGATGCAATACCTTCCATTTGACAAACAGTTTAGTATGATACATGTACTTTAACAAAATCTCCAATATACTTTAACACTAAACTATTATTTTATGTATTATTATGGCACCTGGATTAATATTGTTAAATGTTCATCTTGAATTGAAGATTACCTGATTGCAGGGATTCATCATGCATTGGAACTTCATCAATACCTGCATATTCTGCCAGATGAACAAAAACTAAGGATAGAGCAATTAACTTATTATACAATATAGTTTGTACGATTAGCTTAATTAGCTCTGGGGGCTTTTTCTTTAAATTGTTTTGCAGTTTGTACCATTTGTAGCTAAACCTGCCTACTCTTTTAGTTTTATAGAATGATGAAAAGAACTTTTTAAAATCATAGTAATGCCATTCTTCCGCAGGCACTTGTTTTACATTCTCAATTCTTAATCTGCATGTGAGCTCCTGAAATGAACTACCTTAACATCGACCTCACTGAAGAGAGGATATTAGTTTCTTATCCCCTCTTCTTTTATGTACAGCCTGTAATGAATAATGCCAGTGCGGATGTGTAAAACAAAAACTGTATCGCCATCGGCATAATAGTTCATTACTTGCTAATTGTCAACATAACATAATGCACTGATCTAACCAGTGGTTGGTGTGGGTGCAGATACTTCAGTAGAGAAAATTGTTGGAGGTTCCCTGTCAACATGTTGATGACTAGTTCCTAGATTGAGACTGCTGCTATCTTTTACTTCTCCTAGGCCTCCACCAGGTTGTGTCTGAGTAACATCTAAATTACTATTACTACTGGAGGTCAACATGCTGTGCTGTCTAAGGTATATGTCAGTGGCATCTTGAAGCAATCTCATCATGCTGCCGGAATCAGAACCAGGTGAAAGCTCTTCTTCTCGCTCAGGTTGGATATTCAAGTCAATTTGGCCTTTAAAAGGTGAAATTGAAGATTTTACTCTGTTAGGATCATTGTCTGAACCCTCAGTGGCAACCTTTTTCGTCTTTGGGCTGCAATTTTCTGCATTCTTGCAAGGGGGAAGGTCACCATCCTGTTATAGCTCGAGAGAAATAAAGAAGAATTCGAAAAAATATGATAGAAGAATGAGAGAATTTAGAGAAAGAAAGAGTTCATTCATTTATTGCATAAGGAATTTTTGCAATCAAGGTAGGTAATTATTTAGTTACATTGTCATACATTCAATCTAAGGATGCCAGCTGTCCATCCTAGATAACAACTAAATAACATAATTATTCTTCTCTTTCCTTTCTTCTGCAGGTACTGGGTCGTTAGGTTTGGGCTGCTCCATCATACATTGGATTTGTCTGGCCTACTCCAACTGATGCGGTAAGTTCTCCTCATGCCCCTCACGTGATTCAATTCCCAAATCCCTATCTTCAATCCCTAACCCTCGATCCTTATTTCCCAATTTATCTTCGCTAATTCCTCTTCCCTCTTCTTGTCCAACCACAACAATACTCACTCCTCGAGACGAGCCTTGTCCCCAAGGATCAAACGTAGGAAACTGTCCTTTGAGAGTCGAATAATCCTCCCAGGTGTCATTCTCTTCAGTGAGATTCTCCCATCGAACCAAAAATTGAATCACAGGTTTGCCATTTCGATTTACTATCCTTCTACACATAATCTTCAAGGGTTTGATTTTAACTGACCTTCTTCATCGACTGCAGGAGGATCTGTGGCAGTAGTGGATGAATCACCGATGAACTTGTTCAAAAGGCTTACATGGAACATTGGATGCAAGCAAGAGGATTCTGATAAGTCCAATCGATAGGCTACTGCTTCTATTTTTTTTTTCCAGAATTCGATAAGGCCTATAAAACTTTGCTGCTAACTTCAAGTTTTTTCGCAGGGCTATGGATGTCTGTCTGTATGGCTGTAATTTCAGGTAAACCATATCTCCAATTTCAAAAACCCTTTATGTTCGATTTTTATCCGCCTATTATTTCATTCGATTACTAACCATCTGTAATTGTTGTTTAAGTAACTATCTAATAACTTCTCTATTGTTCACACTCTCTAAAACTGACTGTACTGTAGACTCTGTAGGCCAAACCATAATAGGTGGTTTGTACCATATAAGGCCTGAAAAGGAGTTAGTTTTAGAGCAGTGTGATAAGTGGTGTTGTACCACCACTCTGCATATGGTAACCACTTAGCCCATTGCTTAGGTTGATAGAAACAAAGGCCTCTCAAATACTGCTCCAAACACTGATTAACTCTCTCTGTTTCTCTATCTGTTTCTGGATGACAAGTAGTACTGAAAAGTGTCTTGGTACCCAACTGTTTCACCAATTCTTTCCAAAAAAACACTTGTGAAGGTCTTATCTCTATCAGAAATGGCCATTTTAGGCTAGCCATGTAGCTTATACACATTTTCTAAGTATAATTTAGCTATGTCTGCTGCAGAGTAAGGATGAGATAAGGACATAAAATGACTGTACTTTGTAAACTTATCCATAATGACCAAAATACAGTTTTCTTGAGTGAAGTAGGTAAACCCTCAATGAAATATGTCCACTGTTTATGAGTACTAAAAATAAGTGCGGATATATGTGCAAGTATACACAATCGAACAAGTAATACAGTGATAAGTGAGTATCGTCTCCACAGGGAATTGAGGGAGTCAAATAGGTTTGTCAGGGCACTTTAGTTTGTCACCTAAGTAAAGTTAGTGATGGTATGTGCAAATGAGAATACTGTGGAAAAATGGAATGACTGACGTGGAAATGGAATGGTGGTAGTGTGGTAGCAATTGGATAAGTCATGGCAAATTCAATTGTGATGAGTGCAAACAGATGAAAATGTCAAGGCAAAAGAAAATATAAAAACAAGATTTAATTTATAGGACTTTAGATTTCTCACATGACAAGCTGCTATGGGAATGATTGATAGGAGTCATTGGGAAAATCTAAGTCTATTTCTCCGAATGGTATTTCTTCTATGCCTAATCTACCCGACAGAGTCTACTAAGGTACCCTATGCTACCGCTCTTGCAGTGATCTTATCGTTCTGCTCAGCGATCTCCTTATTTCATGGCATTTCCCTTTCTCTTTTCCTTGTTCTCAATTCATGCACATTATTAGACAAACACCTTCCCCATAAGTTAGCACTGATGATGAATTAAAATGCCGCGTCAAACCGAATTCCACCACATGCAACTAAATGCTTCTAAATGCATCTATATGGTCCTAAATGAGCTCTTAGACATTCAATAAATTAAGTGAAAAGGTCCCAAAATGTGACCTTTTTACGGAGTTATCACACCCCCAAACTTAAGTTATTACTTGTCCTCAAGCAATGGATAGTATTAAGCAAAACAAAAATACCATGGCAAGTTCAAAAGAATAATAGTTACATGGGATAAAATTTCAGCCCTCAACATTTGACTTCTACATGCTAGACTAGTTTGAGAAATCAAGTATTGTCCACTAGGGAAAGATTCTTTGTGTGAGTGTGTGCGTGTTTGTATCCAGTCCATGCTTAACAAATCTAAAAATTTTCTAAGCAAGCTTTCTTAATTTGCCACGACATTTACAAATTTTTACTCCACATTGTTTTCTTTTCTTTCATTAACTCTGCTACGAGATGAGTCAGCCCATCACTCCTACCATCCCACACTCTAAGTGAAAGGGAGCATACCTTCCATCCCGAGCTAGTCAGGTTATGTCATCCCGTGACTTCTTTCATTCACTCATATGCCATAGTTGCCATTTATTTAACTGCAGTTTCCAGGAAATACTGTGGCATAGCTGAGTGTCTCTCTACAGATATGCCAAGGCATTTATTCACAACTTCATTTTTTTGTTCGGTTTTCATCATTCAAAGTTTTATGTCATATCATTTAAGAATTCTCTTATAAAAAATTTCTAAGTTTCTCAAGCATGGAAAGCATACAATCGTGTATTCAAGGGTTCCAAAAAAGCAAGTCCTAGAGTTGGTTCTATCATCCTCAACCAGTCATGTACATTCTATCATATCCATCAAGAATTCTTCATCATCGGGCATCCTTAATTTACTCCAGAAAACTAATTCTATATTTACTGATGTCATGACATATTCATTATACTAATACTATCATCCAATGATTCGGGAGCCCTACCTCCCCCAAACTTGAGAGAAACGTTGTCCTCAATGCTTACTAAAAACTAAGGTAAAACTAGACTACATGCTATGAAATGCAATGCAAGGTACCTTGACTTCATTCTTGTGGTGGTGCGGCTGTCGCGACGTGGGCGCTTTCGTAATTGTGTGGAGCTGGAATGTTCAAAATCTGATGCTGGTACGATTGAAGGTTGTGTGGACCCTAACCTTGCAAAGAAAAACAAAATAGTCAATTAAAAGGAAACTGAATATGAGTAATTTTAAAATTTCACGGCATCCTTAAGATGTTGGGCCAATATCAACTTCATGCAAGAGAAGTGCAGTTTTATCACGCAATGGTGGAACTCCTTGGTATGCCTTCAGGCGCTAGCCATTGACTTTAAAGATAGACCCATCGTCCATGTTCTTGATATCCACAGCGCCAAACTGAATATGAGTAATTTTAAAATTTCACGGCATCCTTAAGATGTTGGGCCAATATCAACTTCATGCAAGAGAAGTGCAGTTTTATCACGCAATGGTGGAACTCCTTGGTATGCCTTCAGGCGCTAGCCATTGACTTTAAAGATAGACCCATCGTCCATGTTCTTGATATCCACAGCGCCATACGGGTAAACATGGTGGACTTTGAATGGTCCTGACCATCGTGATTTCAGTTTTCCAGGAAAGAGTTTGAGCCTAGAGTTAAACAGGAGCACTTTCTGGCCAACATGAAAATGTCGTTGCAAAAGCATTTTGTCATTCCACTTATTCGTTTTTTCCTTGTAGAGCTTGGAATTTTCATATGCTTGTGCTCGAAACTCTTCCATTTCATTCAGATCGAGCAGTCGTTTCTCCCCAGCTAGTTGTGCGTCGAAGTTCAACTTCTTGATTGCCCAGTATGCCTTATGTTCTAGCTCAACTGGCAGGTGACAGGCTTTTCCATATACCATCTTAAAGGGCGACATTCCTAGAGGTTCTTTGAATGTCATCCGGTAGGCCCAGAGCGCTTCGTCCAGTCTTGGGGACCAGTCATTCCTTCGAGGGTTCACCACATTCTCCAAGATTTGCTTGATTTCACGGTTAGACACTTCAGTTTGCCCATTAGGTTGGGGGTGATATGCCGTGGAAATTTTACGTCGCACCCCGTACTTTTGTAATGCCTTGGCAATTAGCTTATTATCAAAGTGGGTGCCCTCGTCACTAATGATGGCTCTCGGTACTCCAAATCGAGTAAAGATGTTCTTGTGGAGGAACTTGAGTACCGTCTTGGAGTCATTCCTCGGTGTGGCAATCGCTTCAACCCAGTTAGATACGTAGTCCACCGCAAGCAGAATGTATAAGTCTCCAAAAGAAGATGAGAATGGTCCCACAAAATCAATGCCCCAAATAGCGAATAGCTCTATTTCCAAAATATTTTACAGCGACATTTCGTGTCGTCTGGAAATGGTCCCAGTGTGCTGGCATCGATCGCATGCCTTGCAAAATTCGTGGGCATCTTTAAATAGTGATGGCCAGTAAAAGTCTGATTGGAGGATCTTTGCAGTAGTCCTCGCACCTCTAAAATGCCCTCCACATGGTGCTGTGTGGCAATTATGTAAGATGTCTCGTTACTCCTCTTCGGGGACACACCGTCGAATCATTTGATCGGCACATTATTTGAATAGGTATGGATCGTCCTAAAAATAGAACTTGGCATCATGCATAAACCTCTTCTTGCCCTGGTTGTTCAAATCATAAGGAAAAACACCACTAACAAGAAAATTAACCAGGTCAGCGTACCACGTAATTGTCGTGGCATATAAAATTTTCTCGTCACGAAATTCTTCTTTAATATCAAAAATGCCATGGTATTCAGAAATGTTTTCTAGCCTAGATAAATGGTCTGTAACCTGGTTCTCTGTACCTTTCCTATCAACTACCTCTAAGTCGAACTCTTACAATAGTAAT